GCAAAGTTGTGGAAGAAACTGATGCCTCAACGAAAATGTAATGATAATCATACCCATCTGTATTAATAATATCTAGACCATCATGAAAAATGCTTGTATACACGTTTTTATCATTTTAAATATTACAATCTTTTTTAAAGCATGGCCCGGGAACAAGACATCCGTTTAATCAACACATAACACAGGTCTACGTCTCTTGTTGCATCAGCCTTATAACTCTTCGCTCTCGTTCTCCTATTACTTTGACAATACCTTCAGTTTGCAATGATTTGACGGTATCATTAAACTCAGCGGTGTCGATAGGAATAGTACTTTGGTTGGACAACTGTTTCATAACTTCTGACCATCGAATTCCTCTGCCTCCACCATTTGTTTCCAAGAATTTGACCAACTCTCTTCTTAAATCCGCACGAAGTCGACGCTGATGTTGACCAGTCCCGGTGTTTAACATTTCCATATCGATAGCACCAGTACGAGGATCCGTAGCTGAAGTTCTAATAGCTTCACGCATGAGACGACTGGCTTCTTTGACGTCCTGTAATTCTACCAATGACGAAAATCGCATCCGTGCATGTGCTTCCGAAAGACGAATCATACTCTCAAGTTGTCGGGTTGTAGCCGTAATTCGTCGTTCAGACGTTCCAGGGTCTTCACCCAATTTACGCATTTCCACATATGAAGAAACAAGTTCTTCCGATGCTTCTTCAGTAATAATAGGATGTATCCTTGATCGTGCATACGAGATATACGCTGAAAGGGTTTCCAATGGCTATACAATATTTGTCAGATAGAGCTTAACACTATTCATCCGCCTAATCTTAAAACTGACCAGAACATCCACATATGATTGCACATGAGTGTCCTCAAGATATAGTCCAACCAAATGTTGCGCAAGCCTCTTATCAGCTACCTCGTCGATTCTGTCTAACACAAGATATAACAGATCAAAACGGGAGATAAGAGTTGGAGGCAAATCAATATTTCGAGTAATAGGCCAGTCAGGATTATATCTTGACCCCGCTGGATTGGCTGCTGCGAGTATCGATGTACGCGCGTTGAGGGTTGTAATGATCCCCGCTTTCGCAATAGATATTGTCTGTTGTTCCATAACTTCGTGAAGCACACTTCGTGTTGCGTCTGACATTTTATCGAATTCGTCAATACAGCAAATGCCACCGTCACTAAGAACAAGTGCACCACTAAAAAGGATATGAGAATGGTTATAAAAACATTATTTAAAGAAACTTGCCTTTCCAAAACCAGTTGTTTCGAATCAGGATCACGAGTAACATACGCCGTCAAACCGACAGCAGAGGAACCTTTTCCGGATGTGTATACGCCACGAGGTGCAAGCTTATGGACGTGCTATAACCGATAAATCAGCACAATGCTATAGTGGATCCAAATACCCGCGCGAACCTGAAGCATCTGGGATTTACTTGTCCCAGGGTCCCCTACAAGTAAAACGTTGATATCACCTCTGTAACGAGGTCCACCACCACCACCTCCCTTAGCAATGCTTTTGTTGGTTCCTCCAAATAATTGCAACAATATACCCTTTTTAACATCATCCAACTCCCAAATAGAAGGTGCCAGTGAACGCGATAGAAGATCGTAAATGTCCGGCCGTTGACTTAGTTGACGTAGTTCAGCCTCGAGACGTGCTCGCTTACTGAGTACTTCTCCATCTTGGTTTTCTTGATCATCAGTTTGTAATTCTGTTTCGTCTTCATCTCCTCCTCCACCAATACCGACACCACCGACACCAGGAATTCTAGCTTCACCGACTCTTGTACTTTTATCGAATCCAAGACGATCTTTGCTGCCTCGACTGATATGAACGACATCAACGAATGTTTTAAAAAGACTTTTAATAGATCGTTGACGATCGTTAACTCGGACAGGTATGCTACGGAAAATACCAGTAACGGTTAATCTATCGCCGGGTTTTGTAACGTCGACAAGCTCATCATAAACGCATAGGGACACAGTATGAGGAGTTTGGCCATCGGGAACGGAATCGGGTGTTTCCTGAAGTCGTATTATCTGACGATCGGAGAATTCACAGCGATTATGAATCAAGTTCATGGTACCTTCTGAACGACAGAGATCTCGTGGACATCGTTGTGGTTCAGCTATACGCCCTCGGTCAATGTCTACTTGAACAGTATGAGAACAGGTTAGGCATCGAAAGAAAGCTGTTCTTAGTCATTAGTGTTCATTCATCACATTTATTATGGCGAACTCCACCTGTTTTCATATCCGGAATAATGGGAGTAGCACGGATAACAAGGCCTTTAATTGTAACGAGTTTATCGGTGTCTAGAGGAGATATTAACTTGGCCCTGTCGCAGTAATTCAGTTTTTTTGTTAAACTCACCGCTAGGATTCAAATCTCTCATATTACCTGATTTTTCGCCAAATGGCCTTACTTTATATACGCGTCCAACGATTTCGGTGATTTCATCTTCCCCTTGTTGACCCGCCATGCCTTCCATACCAGCCTCATGATCTTCTTCAGCGAGAGCCAACATAAGATCTTTTAATACTTGATCCATAGCAGGAATAACTTCTTGTGGGTATTTAAGTAATTGAGAATGAAGTTTGCGTGATGGAGGGTATGCTAGCAAATTAACAGAGTCCAAATTCAAGTTTGTTTGACCGGTCTTGCGCATTTGTCTCAAAAATGTAATGTATAAAAGCTCTTCACCTTCTTCGGGTGAAGATAAGGCACGCGTCAGCACACCGTGTTCGCGATCATAACTGACACGGTACTTTGTTTTGAATCCTCGAAGGAAATCTGTAAATAAGGCCATAGACTCCAAAAGAGATACGTTCGTTCCCCAGATAGCACGATAAACATCTGAATTCTCGGATGGTTCTACGGGAGCTGATAAAGCAGGCGCAGAGGATTGAGGTAGACCAAGACCGTCAGAATTTGAATTGTTAACATCGGGAACATTATTTCTTCGTGGTCTCAACGGACTCGGAGAGAAAGTGGCTGTGGAATGTATATCACCGCGTCTATTCAGTTTTGGGGTAGGCGATTGAGGAAATTCCAATGGGTCAGACAAGTTGGAAGAAAAGCCTGTATCAGGATGGGTGAGACGTGTAAAATTAGACAGTTTCAAACGCGTTTAATGTTTACTATTGTTTGGTCCTTCTGATCTAATTGGAAGACCCAATGCTCTCCGAGCGACAGAAGCGCGAAAAGGTGAACTTGACGCGACATTTGGGTAACGTGGTTGCCTTGGTGTTCCCACCGACGAAGGGCTCGACGGTTGAAACAGAGGCATTCGACTTGGTGCATTGGGAATCGTTTCACCAATTTCATTATTGCCTTGCATTTGAACATCTTCAGCTTCAGAAGACGGGAAAGGTAATGGCGAAGACATGTTGTCCTGCTTTTAGGGTATAACTTGAAGGAGCGTGTAATAGCAAATAAGCGCGGGGTTCGGGTTCGTTTCACCTAATTGTGACTAAACAATGATTATATGCCATTTGGTTTCTTTCGTCGTCGACTCTTTTCACAACGGTTATCCATGAAATCCTTATCTGAATTTCTACTTACAAATCGTCAACACTATCTGGAAGCTCTGAAAGTTGGTCGAGCACAAAATTGGACAGTGGTAGTGGGTAATGAAGCTGGAGGTAAAAGATATTGCAAAAGCAATTTGAAAAAAGGATGAAAAAATGCTAAGGAATATTAGATTTAGATTCAGCGGCGTCATCGATCGCCTATTCCTATCTGTCTTCGACTCTGTTGCAAAGACCAACCATCGCGTTGTTGCGTACTGCTCGCTCTGATTTCCATTTACGAGCTGAAAATGATTATGCATTTTCGCTAACAAGACTCAATAGCGATCATTCAGATCTGCTTTGTATCGATGATATACCAACCGAATTATTCCCTCAAATATTACAATCTTCCTTTGCTTTGGTGGATCATAACCATCTCGATCATATCTTTACTCCAGCTCCAAATGTTGTCGCTATCATCGACCACCATAGTGATGAAGGATATCACCATGACGCACAATGCAGAATCATAGTAGTTCCGGTGGGCAGCTGCACCTCCTTAGTTACACAACATTTCTTGCACCATTGGCAGGAGTCCACAACAGAAATTTCCCCAGATGTGGCGACGTTGCTACTCACAGGAATATTAATTGACACTAAGGGCCTGAAGAAAAATGGCAAGGCTGTGGAAATCGACCATAAAGCCTTCCAATTCTTATTTCCTAGATCGTCCTGGAAAGCCTTTTCGAGTGTACAGGAGGAAGACGAGAAAGAAAAAATTGAAGTCGTGATCCAAAAACTGGAATCTTTGAAAAATTCCGTCTCTCATCTCTCAAGTAAGGACCTTCTTCGACGAGATTATAAGGAATACAATATCGGCGAGACAGGTTCACCCACGGTCGTAGGGATTGCGTCGGTGCCTTTGAGCATCAAGTCCTGGCTTGGAATGCACCCCTCGCCCGACTTCTGGGATGCAATGGACGAATGGATGCAAGAACGCCACTTGGATGTTCTTGGCGTTTTGTTTAGCTTTCATTCAAAGAAGAATGGGAAGCATAAACGTCAAACACTGTGGGTTGTCAAAGAGGGACTTGATGATTTGCGCAAAGGAGTATTTAAAGGTCTAAAGGAGCATAAGGAGTTGGAGCTTGAGGTAAAGATTTTGAAACATAAATATCTGACGGATATGGAAACGACGAAGACCGGTAAAATTATAACCAAAGCTGGAGCAACAGCACGGGTTTGGAATCAGTTGAGGACGGATTCCACACGAAAGGTTGTCGCGCCTCTTGTCAGGTCTATTATAGAAAGTTTGCAAAGCAGAAAATAAAGTCGAGCTTGGAAAACTTCATCGAAAGCCCCTCATTACAGCCTTTTAGGGGAATAACGACTGACGTGAAGACAAAAGAAGCGTTGAAGCAGAAAGAAAAAATATAGTTCCGAAGTAATAAAGCACTACCGGAAGCAAAAGTAAACAGGACCGACAACAGCAGGATTTGAACCTGCGCCCTCAAAGAGGATCAGATATCGAAGCATTCGAGTCTGACGCCTTAACCACTCGGCCATGTTGCCATACAACTCCTAGGCTTTTTAGCATATATATAATTAGGCGAAGGACTTCCGCGACTTGGGTTCTCATCAAGTTATTGAATTCTTGGACTGTAACTGACAAACAATATCTACTTAGGTCCAAAAAAAACCTACGGGATACTCATTTTCTCATTTAGCTGGCGCAGCCCCTTCACATGAACTCAGGAAAAGGATCTATAATTTAGGGATGTTCAGCGTTTTACTTCCAAGATAGTCGATAACTCAGGGACTCACCACAAAGACCATATCGAGACTCGTAGTGACAGAATCGTTTGTGAGGTACAGTGTATTACTTCTTCTATTCAGAATAGTATACGTCGGCGGGGATTGTCCATTGTGAGTAATCCAATGTGCTAACAGGGGTAAGTCAGAGTCAAAGACTATAGAATATACAGGTTTTTAATTCACCATTTAGTTCAAGATTTGACTTGTCTATCGTCCATATAGCGGATTGGGATTGGGATTGGATTGATCCTCTCCAGGATGAGACAGGACGTGAGCCAGGCGCAGCTAAGTAGAGCTGGTAAGTTTTACTATGCGAAACGAATGACGAAAAATACGGACTTTCCTGGACGTTATTCAAAATTATAATGCTATGTATTTCGATGTGATATCATTAGATATTACGAAAGGAAAAAGGATACGGATCCATACTTATCATGATTGACAGACAGACCTTCAGAGGCACTTCCAGAGACAGTGCTACCCCCGAGGTTAGTCGGTCCAGGGAATTTAGGCTCCTGAAAAAAACTCTCGTAAATTTATCCTGAAGAGGAATATATTGATAAGTATCTGTATGCGTACTTGGGCGACAATATTGAAAGGAGATAAGGAAAGTGCTGGTGAATCAAATTTAACGGACAACATTTCGACTTCATCGTTTGTCAAACCATTCCTAAGTTGAGAGATTAGTGGTCGATTAGCTTTAATTTCTTTTAACTAGTCCTACAATCCTTGGTAGGTGTTGCTTAAATATCCCAACGTCGTATTATCGCTTGCGAGTTTAACCTCGATACAACCCTGGAAACTATGGGTGGAAGCTCGTGTAAAGACCCTAGACATCAAAAAAGACGTGAGTCGTACCTAGTACTAGTAGCCAGACTGGAGGCAGCGGGAGGTAAAGCACTTTGAAGCCTAGAAGGTTCTATGGGCAAGATGATACATTTAGAGCACATAATTTGAAAATAAAATCACCAACACATACTTGAGAAACCAAGTGATTCTCGTTCAAAGGCAGTAAACCCTGGTGCAAACCGACCAAAAGAACCCCGGAGCGAGAGTTTATCGCGTCGAATAGAATTTTCATTAGCAAAAGCGAATGCCAGGTGATACCACGTCAAGACATAAAATCCTGCAGAAACCGATGACTTAACATGCAGCAACATATTATGGAACAAGCCAGAGTAGATCTGAAAAGAAAGGCCAGTGAGTATTATATGGAGGAGTGTATACGACACTATTTGTATCCCAAGCCAAGGACGATATGTATGAACCGTTCAAAACAAAGTCCAAAGTGGCATCGAATAGCCTAAGAAAAATGGTGCACACGGTGCAAGTGTTTCGTCCCTTTTCCGTATAGGCCATTCGACATCCCCAAAGTAGTTGGAAAGGTGTAAGAACTAAGGAGATATAATTTTGCACTTTCTTATAGGATGTGACGGAATGCGACGATCAACGGTGGAGCTGAGGAAAATCTTGAGATGGGTATTTCGATATCTCTTATTCAATATGAATATGAAAGCAATTCCATTAGTACTCGACCTCACAGGATAAAATTGGAATTTGACTTTCGATTGGAAATAATCATTTCACGGAACCAGGCCGGGGATCAAGTAGCATACATGGAACCGAGGTCGGTGTCTATAACCTCGGGCAAAAATAAGTTCAAAAGCAACATTCATATCTGTATGGTAATAGAGGGAATAAACTCTGGCATTTCGCAAGACGGAGGTCGTGAGTCGGTGAACTGGGAGCGATCAATTGTAATACCTTAACTGTGATATATCCCTACTAGTATAGGCGGGTTTGTCGGAAAAGACATCACTCCCGGGTCCGACTCCTCCTTCCTTGGGAACCCGAACACTTCATTCGAAACTGTGCCTACAAAATTATAGGAGGTCGATTCAATTGTTAAGAAGACTCGAACTTACTATACTGATGTCTACTAGTAGGAATGTTTGTATACTAACATCACGCCAATAGAAATAAATCTTTTTTGAAGGGAAAAAAAAGATGATTTAAAAAAACATGCCTTTGACAAAAATTACCGGGGTAATGGGGAAAAAATCTTTCGTCTTATATAACATTTTATTAATCCCTCCTTTTATTTATGCGACTTCGACTATGACAGAAGTAGAGAAACCCCGTGGGAGTCCTATGAGTAAGGTTCGAAACAATAATATTCACCTCCGCGCGTGTGTTTGTACATCTTTGCCATTTGACGCCTGTGCGTGCCGGCTAAAACCCGTGCCACTTACAACCAACTATCTCGTGTCCACCAACGCTGCAAATAACTTTCTCTTATTCTGAACATCTTCTCGTATATTTCTTCACATTTTGATCAAGTATTATCAAATGGCGTATACCTCATTTTCATTGTTTCCAACTCTTCCCGCAATCTATAACTTGATGCCATCTCAGAAACATAAACGACGAACAGCGACCAACATCATGGCAGGCTATTTCGATCCTCGTCCAAGGCTTTCTAACAATCCTACAAAATCCACGCAGCATCCTACTCAACCTTCGTCGCTTTCCCCTGCTAGCCTTTCAGATCCTGCACCCGAGCGCCCCCCAGACGAAACACGTATCAACGCGAAGAAAACTACCGCTCAGCTTTCAAAAAAGAACCGAAAGCATAGTACATTATCTGTTATTGAAGGGACCGTATCAGGAAACAAAGGAAATCGCGTGAAAGACGTCCATCTTGACAACAAGGAGAACGCTGGCTCCCACAGGGAACCTCCTAGATCTTCCTCACCCCGTCTTACTTCTTCACCTCCTGCTTCCCCGCTTCCTTCAGTGGTAGTATCTAAAGAAAAACTCAAGGCATCCGGGTTTTGGAGAGCTCGTTCCTCCAATACATCCGCGTCTCCTGCTCCGTCCTCATTGAAACGCAAGCTATCTACCGCGTCCCATGACGATGGTTCACATTCCCAGGTAGAGATATCGAGAGGTAAAAAGTCTCGTCTATCAGAATCATTGGATCTGGAAGCGCCGTCACGCCTATTTGCATCTTCTGATTCTCTATCTTCTCGGTCGTCTTCACTGGATTTTGATAGTAAAAATCTCGTTTCAGACAAGGCTAAAAAGGAAAAGGAACGGTAAGTTATGTTTCATGTACTTGATAGTCATTTTGATTTTTCGTAATCAATGATTTAGGCGTCGCAAGAGCGTCGCCACGGACGGTAGAAAGCCCAATAAAGGTATGTACATAGAGTGAAGTCACACAACATATTGGCTAAGGATCAATTACAAATGTAGTGTTTACAAAGTCATTGGGGAGCATCTCATTGAAGGGTTCTGTGAGTCCTGTCTTAAAATATCGTTTTCTTATTAGCACTTCATGTTCTAACAATCCCGCAAGATATCTCACTCTGGTATTTTTCAAAGTGAAGGCGATGCAGGCCCTTCTTCTGAACCATCCGAAAGCAAAGTACTCGAGCCGTAAGTATAGTAACATGGATTGCTTTTCCAGAAATCACGTCTTCCCAAATAGAAAATTAACTCGGGCTGATGCCCCTCAGTTATATGAGGTAATAAAAAAGGCGGGTATCAGGTGCAAGCTATGCGATAAAATGTCCATAAACGTGCTGTTTATGGAGGCGCATTTGCGTGGTTATCACAGCGATAAAATAGACATGGATGTAAGTCTTAATTCTATGTGAGTGAATTTCTTTTTAAAAACTATGTATTCCCAGGCATTACCGCAACCTCCCCCTCGAAAACCACGAGGACCCCGTAAAAACGTGGCCATCAAAAAGGGATGGAAAGGCTGGGTAGAAGAAGACCTTGAACCTCAAAAGCTTATTCTCTTAGATAAGCCCGAGGTCCTTCCAGAACGTACCACTCGTAGTGGTAGAAAAATCTAAATCGAGGTCCATCTTTATGTAGGTTGATGATCATCTATATCTTCAAGGAACGTCTGATTTTTCAACTATCGATTAGATCCCGCTCGCGAAATCTACGTTTCATTCGTTAGCTCCATGATCTGTTTAGCTTCTGTTCGAACGCTTTCGTCGTTATTAGTCTAACCGTGTTTTGTATCGATATATCAGCTGTGTTTTTATGTGTCCGTTATCCCAAAAACTATAATCACCTTCAATTTTAAGACGGGAATTTACTTCTACGTGGAAGGCTTCGTTCTTTTGACCTGAATACGTTTATGTATGCGAAAGGTACGTTTTTCTCAGCGTGTTCTTGTTATTGTCGTGATCACAGCTGGCGTGTCATATTTTTAGATTGAGGTTTTAAAATATCCATAGCTCAAATAGATCCGTTCTTTCAAGTCATATGGTCACTTCAACATTTTTAAAGACTGGTATATAAATATTGGCTGCTTGCTAGTCCGAATTGATGTCGTTGGGAACTTCTCAACAAGGATGATAGCTGCTCAGTTTATTCGGTTGGCACAAAAATCTTCTGGAACTTCAACCGCCATGCCCAAGAATGTCAGCTCGCAATACGTTATAAGTTTGAAGGAATAGTGTGAATATCAATGAAATAATAGCTATGTCATTTAAATGGGTACAGACAGAACTTTAATTCCTGAAAACACGGGACAACAGGTAAGGTTTTACAGTTTTCTTTTTTTTTGAAATTTGACCCGTCTTTAGGTTTGTTGTATTATTACTCTCAACTGTCGGGAGGTTTTTGTCACCATTCAATAAAGAAATATGTTTCTTTTGGTATACTATTGATTTGTTGTCTCGATAGATAACACATGTTGCTTGGAGGTGAGGTAATCGGGTCATTCTGTCATC